AAGTCAATGAATTGGCGGATTAACTGGAGATGTTCATGTTGATTGAGTTGTTAGAAATCATTCCTATGGTTTAGGTCTCTAAATTTGAAGTAGTCAAGGTCAACAGAGCAAGAGTCTGGGAACTTATTCTGGGCTCTTAAAACCCACGTGAAGCTCAGAAACTCATTTTTTTTGTAGCCCTGGTCATTGGCAAACACAACCCTTCTCTGCACACTGTTGACACAAGGGCTCAGCCTGCAGGATTCAGAAGTGATATTGAACCTCCAAATGCGATCAGAGCAGTACCTGCCGGAGCTTGTGAGGCTGAAGATATTTCAGTCTGTGCTCACGTGATAAGAGGTATTGAAGAAATTCACAGGTAATGCATACTATTAAACAACAACAACATTATAAACAGATTTCAGACATTGTTAGCACCAAAATAAACCCACACTCCAATTTCATTTTCCATGAACCTTTTTTTTTTTGGAGAGCTTTTTGCTATCGGGCATGTGCGCTGACCAGACAGAGACAGACAGAGAGACAGAAAGCAAGAAATCACAACCCAGGGGGATGGCCACGCTGCAATCCCTTCTCCTCCATTCTCCTCTTGGGATCTTGGGCATGCATGCACATGCACCTGGCGTGAGTTTAAGCCACTGGGTCTGGGACTCGAACTGCGGTCAACTACTCCTTGAACCTTTTGAAATCTCTTCATGTCCCTAACTTATGAAAAGACTGTGTGGTGAGCTCTATCTTGTACACAGAGCAAGTTGAAGCCCTTGCTGATAGTTTATCAGCCACAGAGTGACCAGACAAGAACTAACAAAGACACTTCCATTTGGTGCTATGCTTGGGTTTTTTGGTTTGGTTTGGGTTTTTTGTTTGTTTGTTTGTTTGTTTTTTAGGAGAGATTTTTGCTATAGGGTGCATGCACTTGTCTGAGAGAGAGGAAGTAAGAAATCATCCCCTGGAGAGATGGCCACACCGCAGTCCTTTCTCCTCCATTCTCCTCTCAGGATTTTGGGCAAGCAGGCACACACACCCAGCATGAGTTTCAAGCCACTGGGTCCAGGATTCAAACTACAGTTGATCAAGTGGGACCAGTGCCTTAACCACTACACCACCAGCTGGTCATATGTTGTTGTTTTTTCTTTTTTAAATTTTGCCCATGTGCTCCCTAGAGAGACAGAGAGGGAGGAGAAAGTATTCCCTAGTGAGGGTGTGGTCATGCACATTCCCTTCTCCATCTCTATCTTTTCAGGATTAGGGGCATACACACACATGCCTGGAATATTTCTCAAGCTTCCAGATCCAGGATTTGAACTGCATGGTCAGACGTGTGGGCTCTGTCTCCTTCAACCATCAGGCCATAGAGCGAACCCAATGCCATACTGAGCTCTTAAACCACCTATGTAAAGCATGCATGATCCACCTACCTAGACCCCTAAAAATAGAACTGGGGACATCAAAGGACTAAGAAGAACAGCCCAAATAAAGGGGAGGGGGAAGGCCAGGAAGTATTTTAAAATTATAAATCTAATTTAAATGATCAGGACATACGTTATGGGGACAGAGTGCAGGGACCTCACTAGTGATTGACTTTTCCTTAGATTTTTTTTTTTTTTTTGGAGAGATTTTTGCTATAGGGCGCGTGCGCTCGCCAGACAGACAGAGAGAGACATAGAGACAGAAAGCGAGAAATCACCCCCCAGGGGGGATGGTCACGCCGCAATCCCTTCTCCTCCATTCTCCTCTCGGGATCTTGGGCACGCACGCACACGCGCCCGGCGTGAGTTTTAAGCCACCGGGTCCGGGACGTGAACCGCGGTCGACTACGTGGGAGTCCAGCGACATAGCCATTACGCTAACTGCTGGTTCCCACTAGTGATTGACTTTTAAAGAGTTATTAAGGGTCAGCAGATGGCATGGTGGGTAAGGTGCTGGACTCCCACATGACTGACTATGGTTCAAGTCCCAGACCTGGAAGCTTGAGAAACACACGGGGCACATGTGCATGTGTGTCCAAAATCCCCAGAGAAGAATGGAAGAGAAGGATTGTGGCATGACCACCCCTCAGTGGTGGTGGTAGGCAGGGGTGATTTCTCTTCCTCTCACTGACTCTCTCCAGCGAGTGCACACTCCCTATGGTAAAAACTTAAAAATAAAAAAGAGGAGTTATTAAATTTGTCCAAAAATGAATACTGTTCCTTCCACTGTTCCACATGAAGAACCACATACCCAGTAAGTATGCGAATTAGCAGGTACCCACATACCCAGGGTGTAAAGAAAATAAATCAAGCAGTTATCCTAAGATAACATTCAATAAACTGTATTTTCCCTTTATTAGCATTCAGATCAGTTTCATTCTGCAAACATCTTTTTGGTGCCTGCTATATGACCAGCAATGGGCATTTCATTCCCCTGTGCATGATGGTGAGCTGTCACCTCATTTTCCCCTTTAAGCTCTTCCAAGTCAAATACTGTATGCATTTCCTAAGACTGTCATAACAAAGTACCACAAACCAGGTGGATTGAAAGACAGAATTTTATTCTCTGCCAGTTCTGGAGATGGGAAGTCCCCATCAAAGTGTCAGCAGGGTTGCACTCCCTGTGAGGTCCCAAGGGAGGATCCTTCCTTGCCATTTCCAGATTTGATGGTGCTAGGTGTCTCTGGGCATGTGGCTGGGTCACTCCGATCTCTGCCTCTGTCTTCACATGGCCATCTCTGGCCCTCCCTGTCCCCATCACATGGCCATCTCTGGCCCTCCTGTTCCCATCACATGGCCATCTCTGGGCTCTCCCTGTTCCCATCACATGGCCATCTCCGGGCTCTCCCTGTTCCTATCACATGGCCATCTCTGGCCCTCCCTGTTCCCATCACATGGCCATCTTTGGCTCGCCCTGTACACATCAAGTGTGTGTGCATACCATGACCTGGGATGGCTAAGGCTGGGGCGAGGATACTGGCATGAGGACCCTATTGAGGGTCTCTCTCCCTTACAAGAAATAAAATACTAGATTTAGTCCCATCCTAAATGCAGGATAATTTCATCTTGACATTATTAACTAGTTAACATTTGCAAAGACTCCATTTCCAAATAAGGTTATATTCCAGGCTTTCAAGTGGATGTGAACTTCAGGGCAGGGAGGTGGGGAGATGCATTATTCAATGCACTGCAAATACTGTTTCACAAAATATAAGGGAGCAATGCTAGTTTCATCAAAGTTTTTGAAAGAGACAGTGGACATCTTGACGTCCCTGTCACAGGTGGGCTTCCTGAGATCCCAACTCTGAGATAAAGGTCAGCCCACAGGGTGTTCATTAGAGAGTGCTCTAGGATCCCAGCCCTTGGGGAGTTGGAGACAGGAATCAAGACTTACAGGGAGAAACTGAGCTATGTTATAGTTTGCATGTCCTCCCCAAAATCATGTGTTAATTCTTTATTTTTTTAAGAATTATTTTATTTAACTGGATTTATTATTATTATTATTATTATTATTATTATTATTATTTTCCAGTTTGATCAGAGAGAGACAGAGAAAGAGAGGGAAAGGGAGAAAGCAAGCCACCAGGTCTGGGACTTGAACCACAGTCAGCCATGTAAGAGTCCAGCATCACCATACCACCTGTTGGCCCCAAGATTTGATTGTTTTGTAAAGGTGTTAAGTGAAAACTGATATCCCAGCATATCCCAGGGTGGGGCTTTTGAGTATGATAAAGTCATTAGGGTGGGGTCCCTAGGATTGAGTTCTAGTGGTTTTATAAGCAGAGGGAATGAAGCTAAGACAAGAGAAAAACTCATAGATACAGACCATGCTCTGCTCTGCTAAAAAGTTCTGCCTTCTACAATCTGTGATGCCTTTGGACTTCCCAGTCATCAGAATCATGAGTTTTATAAATAAACCACTATTTTCTTCATAGACCTCCCAACTTCAGGTATTTCTGTTAACTACACAAGTAACAGGTGAAGATGTGTACATTAAAGGCCTCAGCTGACCTCCAGAAGCGCCCCAGAGATGCAATGACCCTTTGGGACTTTATGTCCCACATCAGTTATTGGACATAGGCCTTCCAGGAAGGGAGTGTGACCTGGGGTGAAGCAGCTCCCTTTGGAAGAAGCGGTCCCTGTTGAAGGCTGCCCACAGTACTCACGTAGTGTTGGGGAGGTAAGTCCTGCATCCTTGAAGGGGAATCTGGGTAGAAAATCATGGTGTCGGGACCAGCAGTTAGCGTAATGGCTATGTCGCTGGACTCCCACGTAGTCGACCGCAGTTCACGTCCCGGACCCGGTGGCTTAAAACTCACACCGGGCGCGTGTGCGTGCTTGCCCAAGATCCCGAGAGGAGAATGGAAGAGAAGGGATTGCGTTGTGACCATCCTCCCTGGGGGGTGATTTCACTTTCTGTCTCTCTGTCTCTCTTTGTCTGTCTGGCGAGCGCAAACGCCCTATAGCAAAAACCTCTCAAAAAAAAAAAAAAAAAA